TTGGTGAATTTCTGTAGAGCAACGTGTAGATAGTTCACACTGCTGCTACTGAGCGTCGGTGGTGGAGGGATTGGATGCACTGCTACCAGTCTAGTGGGCTGCTTTGTCCTGGATGGTGTCAAGCTGCTTGAGTGTTCTTGGAACTGCAACCATCCAGGCAAGTGGCGAGTATTCCAACATACACCTGATTTGTGCCTTGTAGATGGTAGACAGGCTTTGGGAAATCAAGTAATTTATTTTCTGATGTATATGTCCACCATCAACACAATTATTTTGTGCACCATGATTAAGAGGAAAACTGCTCATAGAAACCTAGAAAATAGGAGCAAGATCATGCCCTTCAAGCCTGTTCCACTATTCATTACGATCATTGCTCATCATCCAATTCAGTACCTTATTTCCACTTTCTCCCATTTGAACACTTTAGCCCCAAGAACTTTATCTAACTCGAAAACATTCAATGTTTTGGGTTTGATTACTTTCCATGGCAGAGAATTCTACAGGCTCACCACTCTTTGGGTGAAGAAATTTCTCTTCATCTCAGTCCTTAATGGCCTATCTGATATCCTTAGACTGTGATCCCTGGTTATGGACTCTTCAGTCACCAGGAACATCCTCTTTAGTCCAATTAGAATTTCATAGCTTTCTATAAGATCCCTCTCCTTTTAAATTTGAGTAATTAAATCTGTCTGTCTGTCTTTATACATCAGTACTATGATGCCAGGAATCAGTCCAGTTAACCTTCATTGCACTCCTTCCATAGCCAGAACATATTTCCTCAGATAAGAAGACCAAGACTGCCCACAGTACTCCTGGTATGGTCTCACCAAGGCCCTGTACAATTGCAGCAAGGCATTCCTGCTCCTGTACTCGAATCCTGTTGTTACGATGGCCTACATACCATCTGCCTTCTTCACTATCTGCTATACCCACATGTACAAGAACACACAGGTCTCACTGAACCTCCCCCTTTCCCAACATATCACCATTCAGAAAATAATCTGCGTTCGTGTTATGCTATCAAAATCGATAATCTCACATTATACTTCAGCTGCCATGGATTTAACCGAGTTATTGAAGTTACAGGAGGTCTGTTATAACATGTGTTCCGGCAATGCAAATTTTCTATAATGCGACTGACAAATAAGGGAATGCCATTTCTAAAATGCGAACTTGTGTTGGCTATAACACGATTACATTGATTCCAACCTCTCTCCTTCAACTCATGAACCACGCTGCATTAGCAGCTTTTAAAGCTTATTATTTTAGGCACACATTTGAGACGCTGTTTGCAGTCACTGAGGGGGATAAGGACAGTGTTCTTCAATTTTGGAAGAGCTTTAACATCAAGAATGCAACTGACATTATCGTGGAGGCCTGTGATGATGTCAGTAAAGACTGCTTGCATGCGGAAGATTCTCCCAGATTTTTTTCAAGATTGTAAAACCTTTGATCCATCAGAGGAGCTCCCAAGAATCAAAGAACATGTTGATCTTGCAAAGCAAGTTGGACTTGAAGGAGTGGAGAGTGAGGATGTTGAAGAGTTGCTTGAGTCCCACTGTCAAGATCTCTCTACAGCTGATCTACAACAACATGTTGCTGAGGGGGAAGTGGAAGCTGGAGATGAAGAAGATCAAATCCAGGATGCAACACCATGAGAACTTTTCACTTTTGTTATGTCTTCTATTCTGAGGGAAATTGAGAAGCAGTTGCAGCTCTTAGAGGACAACAATTACAATGCAGAATGCAGCAGGGTAGCAGTTTGTGGAATAAGATCTTATTTGGCACCTTATGAACAGCTTCTTCATGAAAGAAGAAAAAGGGCAAAGCAGCAAAAACTGGATGTCTTTTTTAAGCCAATCTCCACAAAACAATCAGAAGACAATGAACCCCAGGCATCCACTTCTGGATTAATTCTTTTTCACCCTAACCTTGCAACCACAACTGCACCCGAAGATGATGACGATGATGACAATGACAACCCTCAGTCTCTGCATTAACAACAAAGCAACCTCAAAGCCTCCTCCCCCATCAAGTCACCTTGACATTTTTTTCAAGATAAGCTGTTAAATTTACTTTTATTTCATTATTAGATATGAATTAAATATTTATTCACACTGTGCTATCCTTGGTGATAGGCTTTTTAATGATTTTTGAGCGATTTTGAGTGATCTTTTTTGGTGCTCTGCCCCTAACCCTGCTTTTCCCATAGGCCCCGTTATTTCTATAGCATGATTTTCTATAACGCAATGTTGCACCGAAATGCAACTATTGCATTATAGCTGAACTGCCTGTATTTGAAAAATTAATATCTGCTGTGCTTAAAGGAGAGCCTGTAGATGCATTATGCTTTGATTTTGGGACATATTTGATAAGGCGCCACATCAAAGGCCACTGCAGAAAGGAAAGGTTCATAGTGTAAGGAATAACATATCAGCATGGATAGAAGATTAGATGGCTGACTGGCTGGCAGAAAACACAGCATTCATAAATTGTTCTTTGATTGGCAGGATGTGATAAGTAAAGTCCCATAGGGATCTGCTGGGCCTCAACATATGCAATTTAGATCAATGACTTAGGGCAGCAAAGGCAAGGTGGCTAAATTTGCTGATGACACCAAGGTAGGTAGGAAAGGGTTTTGGTTATGAAGACATACGGAAATTGTAGACTGAAATAGATAGGTTGAGTGATTGGGCAAATATCTGGCAGATGGAATATAATGTGGGAAAATGTGAATTGTTAAGACTTCTTAATAATGGATTCCAACATTTTCCACTAACTCCTTTAGTTTCCTGATTCATCGCTCCCTTTTTTCTTGAGTAGCGGTGGTTCATTTGCTAACTACTAATCTGCTGGGACCATTCAGAATGTAAGGAATTTTGAAAAATTGTAACCAGTACGTTCACTATCTCTGCAGCTTTCTCTTTTAGAATCCCATGATGTATGGTTTCATGTCCTGGGGACTGTTAGACTTCAGTTCCTTAATTTCTCAACGGTGGAAATTGTAGCATTTTATTTCCCTTTCTAGCCTGAGCCAGCGAGGATAATTCCAGTATCCCTCACACATTCCAACTTAAATCCGTGATTAAATATGAAATCTTTCCAGTATTTAAACCTCAGTGCTATATTGTGTCTTATTTTACCAGTGAGTCACCAAAATAACTCAAATAATAAAGTTTCCTGACCAATATTTATCCCTCAATCAACTAAAAGTATTTATGTTTATAATATCACCTTGATGCCTGCAGAGCAATGTTCTGTTCAAACTGCCTGTTACATTTCTTACATTATAACTGCATCAACACTTTCAAAGTACTTTACTGGATGACAAGAGCTTTGGGATGCCTGAGAAGCAGAGGGTTGTCCAATGGGCAGAGATGGAGTAGAATGAGCCAACACTTCCTGCAATGGTCTCATTGAAATATGCCAGTTGATGTGCTGTATGTAAACTTTCAAAACAAATTTGACAAAGTGCCACACAGTAGACTTGTAAGCAAAGTTAGAACTGGTGGAAGGAAAGTCAAGTTGTAACAGGTACAAAACTGGTTGGCCCATAGAAAACAAACAGTAATTGTTAACATTTGTTTTTCAGAATGCAGGATGGTTTATAGCAATGTTCCTCACAGCAATCAGTGTTAGAACTCCTGATCTTCCTGATATGTATCAATAACCTAGTCTTTGGTATGCAAGACACAATTTCAAAGTTTATGGATGATGCAAAGCTTGGAAGTATTGCAAAGCATGGGGACAACAGTGAGCAGTGCCAGTTTAAATTTAATGAAGAAAACTGTGAAGTGGTTCAGTTTGGTATGAAGGACACAGAAAAATAACACAAAATAAGGGGTACAACTTTGAAAAATTTGCAGGAGCAGAAGGATTGGACGTACATATGCATACAGCATGGAACTGGTAGGATAGATTGAGAGAGCAATTAATAAAAGATATGGTAAATTGAGTCTTATCAATAGGGGTATTAAGTACATACTTAAATAAACCTGTACAGAACACTGGTCCAATCTTAACGGGAGTATTGTGTACAGTGGAGAAGTTGGGACTGTTCTCCCTGTAGAAGAGAAAGCCAAGAGAAAATTTAAAATCATGAGGAACCTTAACAGAATAGACAAGGAGAAACTGTTCCCATCAGTGAAAGGATCAAAAATCTGAGGGCACAAGCATAAGTAGAAGAAGCAATGATGATAAGGGGAAAAAATATTTCATAATGCAGTGAATCGTTAGGATCTGGAATGTGCTGCCCAATAGTGCGGTAGAGGTAGGATTTATTGAGCCTTTTCAAAGAAATTTGGATCATTCTCTGAAAAGAAAAAGAAAAGGCAAGGCTGCAGGGCAAAAACAAAACTGAGAGCTTTGGTAAATTGCTCCTTTAGAGGGCTAGCACCAGCATGGTGGGCCAAATAGCCTCTTGTGCTGTAGTCACCTGTGATTCTAAATGACTCTAAGAGAGTTTTACAGAGTATATATTGTGAGCATATTTCCTTTGGCTGATGAGTTTGGAACTAAGAAGTATAGTTTTACAATAAACGGTCAGTCATTTAAAGCTGAGGTGAAAAAAAATTTCCTCACTCACATGGTTGTGAATCTTTTGAATTCTATAGCCCAGAATACTGAGGATACTTAATCATTGAGGTTCAAAGTTGAGGTTGAGAGGTTTTGAACTCCAAGGGATTTAAGGGATTTGGGAATTAGATCGGGAGAGTAGAATTGAGGCCAAATATTAGCTATGATCTTATTAAATGACAGAGTAAACTCAAGGGGCTGTATGTACACCAGTTCCTATTTTCTTATGTCCTGAGGTTAGGAAAGGCATTATATGAATTCAAATTCTTCCTGTCAGATATCTTTTAATATATAATTATACAAAATTAAAAATTAATGAGTTCTAAAATGAAGTAAAGCAGGAAGAAACATTCAGAAAATAATGGAATTGTGCAATGTACCTCTGTGAATAACTGTCTCTAACCATTTTGTAATTGTTTTGACAGATTGTTATGTACTTGGGGCAAGCCTCCAAAGACATCATTAAGTGGCCTCGTCCATTATCCCCACCAGTTGTAAAGTTGGAAACAAGAGTTGATGCAGAGTACGGTATGCCATCAACGCATGCCATGGCAGCAACTGCTATCTCCTTTACGTTCCTTGTCGCTACAATGTACAGATACAAGGTAGGAATTTTATATTCTATTCTTGACAGGAGCTCGCAAATGTAAAACCACAATGTGCAGCTTTGAAATCAGTTACAGGTATCATTCCTCATTAAAAAGATTTCTGCCCACATTGTTAATGCCTATCTACTTCACTAACTTACTCATGAAATACGGATAAATTGCAGAATTACATTCTGAATTTCAGAAAAGTTAACAGCTTTCAATTCACAGCATGTACTGACATTTATCATCAAGCAGACATGGTGGGATCATTTCTCAGTCTTTGAGATGATTTCATAACAGGAACAGCAGGTTCTAGAGCAGTTACAATGGCACTCAAGAATTCTTAATAAGTGACCAAATAATCTGAATCAGCGCAGAAATTGTTTTTACTAATCATTTCTATCTTGTACTTTTTTAATTAGTAACCCCGCACCCAACCAAACTTTCTTGACTTAACATTCTTTCAAAAAGTTTTAGTTGATGTTACCTAACATATTTTTGCTGATTTTCTCTTCTCATCTCCCTCAGTAACTCTACGGGAGGAAAGTTTCATTGAGGAAAAGAAAGTAGAAAGTTAAGTGCATGCTCATGTCCTCTGTTTCTGTTCCTATAATATCATTTTCCTTGGGCTCAACCATTTAAATATGTATTTCTGGTATCCAAGAACAATTTCCACTTTCTTTTACCATGTTGTCTTTCTTCCCTTATAATATTGCAACAGATACTTCTTTTTTCCTCCTTATTGGGTTGCTTTCATATTCCATGTTCAACACCAACAACTTTTCACCTTTTTGTTACAAATATAACAGCAATCCTGAAGAGGAATAATATTGGACTCAAAACATGACCTCTCATTCTTTCTCCACAAATGCTGCCACGCTTGCTTCGTTTCTGCAACACCTTCTATGTTTATTTCAGATCCCCAGCATCCACGGTATTTTGCTTTCTGAATTCTGTTCAACGACAAGTTTTGGAATCTTGGTTGTGAAAGTCTTAAGGGGGCGCGAATACAGGGCTGTGTGGTCAGGTTGTCTTACTGGGAAAAAGTTGAAAGATGTTCATAGTTTGAAATAATGACCAGGGCAAATGAGCTGATAAACTGGTAGATAAACCATTAGACTCCAAGTTTCACAGGGAGATGGTAGGAGTGTCAGATTTTACACATTGTTATATTTCAAATTGTTTACTTAATTTAAAAATAGAATTATATTACAAATCCAGAGGATAGTTAATCAGCATTTCTACCTGGATGTAAGGTCCTTGGGATTCACATTGTCCTGGAGGTAACCTTTGAAAGGAGAACAGGCAATGCAAAGTCATTGTAAGATCAACTTACAGAGTTTCTTCTTTCGACATCCCTGTATCTCACAGACAGGGCAGCCTGAAAACATCTGAGAAACAGAATAGGGATAAAGATGGCCAGTCAATTATCCACCATATAGAATGCTAGTGGGAGTTCATTTGAATTTGAAAATATTAAGTTTGTCAGAATTTAAAGAAGACTGGAAGAATAAAGTTAGCTTTGGCTAGAGAGAAGAATCTCCATGGTAACACTCACCAGGAAAATCATTTTGGGGTTTGGAAGCTATCTGGCTAGAAAAGAAAAAGGAAGCAAGTCATTAGGATCAAAAAATAGTTTTGGATTATTTCCAGGAGAACAAGTGTTCACTAAGGGACAAAGTATAGCATAAGCTTAACTAGGGATCTTCAGTCATTTTAAAAATTAAATTGGGGACTCATTTCTGTAGTCTAGTGGTTACGCTGGCTACAAAAGTAGTTGTAATCAATGTTATTTGGACACTGTGTGTTACTGTAATAGTTTTAAAACTAAATCTTGCTGTTTAGTCCAGTCAATTATACAGTCATAGAGATATACAGCATGGAAACAGGCCCTTTGGTCCAACTCATCCATTCCAATTAGTTATCCTAAATTAATCTAGTCCCATTTGCCAGCATTTGGCCCCTATCTTGCTAAACCCTTCTTATTCATAAACCCATCCAGATGCCTTTTAAATGTTGTAATTGTACCTGCCTCCACCACTTCCTCTGGCAGTTCATTCCATACACACACCACCCTGTCCATGAAAAACTTGTCCCACAGGTCCCTTCTAAATCTTTCCCCTCTCACATTAAACCTATGCCCTCTACTTTTGGACTTCCCTACCCTGGGGAAAAGACCTTCACTATTGACCCTATCCATGCACCTCATGATTTATAAACCTCTTTAAGATCACTCCTCAGCTTCTGATGCTCCAGGGAAAATAGCCCCAGACTATTCAGCCTCTCCCTATAGCTCAAACCCTCAAATCCTGGCAACATCCTTGTAAATCTTTTCTGAACCCTTTCAAGTATAACAACATCTTTCCTACAGCAAGGAGACCAGAATTGCATGTAGATTTCCAAAAGTGGCCTAACCAATGTCCTTACAGCCGCACACAACTTCCCAACTCCTATACTCAATGCACTGACCAATAAAGGCAAGCATACCAAACATCTTCTTCACCTGTGTACCTGCGACTCCAGTTTCAAGAAACTATGAAGCTGCATCCCAAGGTCTCTTTGTTCAGCAACACTCCCAAGGACCTTACCATTAAATGTATAACTCCTCCCTGTGCCAGTAGCCTGGGTTGTTTCTGCCTTGGCCAGCTGTGGAGCTACCACAGTGGGGTCTTCACCAGATTGTGCCACCTCATGCTTTTTCATGCCAGTTCCCACCACGGTGTCAGTATCTGCACAGGGAGCAGCCTTGCCAATACTTCCTTTGCAGCCTTTTTAATCTTGTCTTCAAAGATTGAGGAATGGGGCTTCTGGCAGAGTCAGACATTTTGATGCTGAGGTTGAGGTCAGGCTTTCAGAACCTACAAGATAAGAGAGAAAGTATTATGGCCAATGGTTAAAAGAGCTTCCAATGATTGACAGTGACAGGGAGAGTGGTAGTGGCATTCAGAATAGTACTTACACATTTGGCAGGGCATGTATGTTTCAGTATCTGCGCTGAAGCAATCTTAGTCTTTATCCTATGAGAACCAAAATTATCTCCTTGAAGTGGGTGAGGAGCCTAATGCTCAGCACACCTCCATACATCCTGACTCTCTCTGGCTTGGTATGGAGTATCTTCTTTCGCAATGAAAAAAGGGTGGGATGAATGAGATGACACTGGATGGCATGGCTATCAGTGCTGGTGCGTGTAGAGGAAAGATGTCACGATGTCCTGAAGTACTGAAGAGACATCATAGAGAGCATACAGGAATATAGTGTGGGAAACTGAGAGGGAAGACCGTGTGAGGGAAGTTGTTGTGGGCAATAGTGAGAGTGGTAGAGCATTACCCTTGCTGGGAGCTATGTGCACAGGCATTGATAGAGTGAGTGTGAAGTAGCAGAGACAGATTGTGGCACTTCCTGTGGATGAGCAGAAAGACTTTTGGGGATTGCTAGCTGGAGACAGCACTGTCCCAGGCAGTGACCTTGTACCTGGCTGGAAGGGTCTGGTGGTGCAGCCTCCTGTGAGAAGAGGACAGCCCTCTTCTGCACCACCAGGATCTCCAGGTCCCTTTTGGAGATTTACAATGCCGTCTTCCCCTTGTCCGACATCTTCTGGGCACATCTGCCATTGCTCAGGGCAGCTTCGGAATGCCAGTGCATATCCAGGTGCAGTATTGAGTTTTGGTGCAGATGCAGGTGATAACTTTCTTTTTGCAGGTATCTGTTGAGTGAGGAGCTATTGCAGGAAGGTCATGTGGTAAGATCGGGCAGAAATTGGATGTGACAGGCCCCATAGGGTGAGGCAAATTTGGTAAGATAGGGCAAGAAAACTCACTAGACATCGTGGCAACGAAGCCTTCCAAGAAACTCAACACAGCTTGAATTTAGCCAAAACAAAGTAAGATTCAGCCCGCTGACTATTACTTATTACACTAAATCTAATTAGACTTTGGGCAAAATATGAATCTTGGCATAGACGCTTTGCATATCATGTAACAATGTCAGTTTTTGCTTCATGTGTAGCACTTTTTTCTCTGACTCACAAGCTTCCAGGTTCAAGTCTCGAGTCTGAATTTGAACACAAAATCAAAGCTTACATCCAGTCCATTGCAGAGCTGAAGGTGTTCAGAGGTACTGTCTTGAGACAAGATATTAAATTGAGTTCGATCTAACACTACTTCAAAGAAGATCAGGGAAATTCTTCCAAGTGTCTTAAAATTCATCGTTAATTCACAAAAACAAATCATCATTGCATTTTTTTTGTGGAATTTTGCTTTGTGTAAATTGGCTGCAATGTTTCCATCAAATAGCAATTACATTTCAGAAGTACTCCTTTGCTGGTAAAAATGAAATGTCTGCTGGTCATGAATAGCAATATATAAATGCCAGTCTTTTACATTTAATGAAAAGATAACACAGCCATTGTATGCTGAATTAGTCAATTTTATCTAGATTGTTTCAAAACTACAATATTTCTGAGTTGTGCTATATATACACCTATCCCAAACTTAATCGTGAAATTGTGTTGAAATGAAAAGCAGCAACTGCCAATCGATTTTCTAAGTAAAATAGAATTGATTGCATTTGTCCTTTGACACATAATTGTAACAAATGGAAATTTGTGAAAATTGGCACGGGACTTAAACAATGACTTGCACGTTCTAAGGTCATTCATCAGTTTATTCACATCCACATCTGCAATAAGACTACTTTGTGGCAGTGTAATGAACATGAAGGATCCGTTCTGGTTCCACTACTTTTCGTCATTTATGTAAATGATTTGGATGTGAATATAGGAGGTATGGTTAAAAATTTGCAGATGACACCAAAATTGGAGGTGTAGTGAAGACGATTATCTCAGGGTATAACAGTACCTTGACCAGATGGGCCAATGGGCCAAGGGGTGGCAAATGGAGTTTAATTTCAATAAATGTGAGGTGTTGCATTTTGGTTAGGCAAACCAGGGCAGGACTTATACAGTTAATGGTAGAGCCCTGGGGCGTGATGCCGAACACAGAGACCGAGGGGTGCAGGTGCATAGTTCCATGAAAGCCGAGTTGCAGGTAGACAGGGTGGTGAAGAAGGCGTTTGGCAAACTTGCCTTCATTGGTCAGAACATTGAGTATAAGAGTTGGTTTGTGCAGGACATTGGAGAGGCCACTCTTACAATATTGCATACAATTCTGGTCGCCCTTCTATAGGAAAGCTATTGTTAAACTTGAGAGGATTCAGAAAAGATTTACAAGTATGTTGCTGGGATTGGAGGGTTTGAGCTATAGGGGAGCTGAATAGACTGGAGATTTTTTTCCCTGGAACGTCAGAGACTGAGGGGTCACCTGATAGAGGTTTATAAAATCACCACGGGCATGAATAGGGTGAATGGCCAAGTTTTTTTTCCCTTGCGTGAGGAATCCAAAATTAGAAAATGAAGGTTTGAGGTAAGTGGGGAAAGATTTAAAAAGGACCTGAGGGGTAACTTTTTCACACAGAGGGTGGTGCGTGTATGGAACAAGCTACCAGAAGAAGTTTTGGAGGCAAGTGCAATTGCAAAATTTAAAAGGTATCTGAATGGGTTAGATGAATAGCAAGGGTTGACAGGGATATGGGCCAAATGCTGGCAAATGGGACTATTTCAGATTGGTTGGTGCCGATGAGTTTCCATGGTCTGTTTCCATGCTGTGTGACTCTATGACTATTTGGAAAGATAACTTGAAAATAGTTCTTATTAAAGAACTAGAAACTAAGAATGATGATTCATTGTCTGTGCATTAGAATTTAAAATATTGCTTTATTACAACTTCCAGACAGAAAATATATGCACTTAACAGCAGAATTGCCACTTTAGTTGTTTTACTTCTTAATTCCATTACAGTAATTTTGTGAATATTTATAAGAGGCTAAGATGGATTTAAAGCCCTATAGATCATTCTTGTTAATAGTGCCTGCTGAATAAAAACAGCATGAAAATATAGCAATAGTATTATAATGTCTCCATCAGCATATGATCATTAAAGAGTCACATAAAACAATACTGAAAATTTATGAAGGAACCATATAATATTATTCTTTGTTCACTTTAAAACACAAGTCAATCTTCTTGAACCTGGTCCAATAAATCTGTACCCAATATCTTTATCAGTACTTAAGAAACAGATAAGCAGTCAATTTAATCAACTTGTTTTGTTTAACCACATGAATGTGCCAAATGGTTGTTTTCTAACTCAGTATCTGATGGCAGCTGAGTGCCAAGTTTGCACAGTTATGAGATTAATCCAATTAAATACTCACCATAAGTTATTTACTGTCTGTGCTGGGTATATTTGCAGAAAATTTAAGATCTCTCTGTCCATGGAAATAACAACAAAAGAAGCAACAGTTTGTCAGAAGAAGCAGAGTCATGTGGGGGAATTTATTGGCAATGTCATGCTGGGACTCAACACAAAAATAGTGTGTATGTGCCACTCCAGGGACCAAAATAATTGTATAAATATTTTTATTCTATTTTTGTTCTCCTTGGATAAAGTTCCCAAGCTGTTCCCGAGGAGGTTCTTGAAATGGCCAGCTGCTAGCGTCACCCATACAGCTTCATTCACTTATTGAGAAATTTTTGCAAAGAATGTCTTCCGTATTTGTCAAATTCAGTTGTATGTCTGATTCTTATTAATCTATGGCATAGTGCTTACTTCCATCATTCAAAAAACTTCAATTATCTAAATGACATTTTTTTTAAATCAACAATTGTCTGTCCATTATAATTCCAACAGCTATGTTCTCGTTTCCTTTACAGACAGTTAAAAGCAGGCATCGTATGTATTAATTTATTCATCAGACAGTTGTCAAGACATATGTTAATTTGTTTTTACACTTAAATTTTTATTTTGCAGCAATTTAATAACATTGGGGACTTTCTTTTAAATACATTGGTCCTGGCATACAGTTATTAACAATACAATACTTCTGTAAAACTGGAAGAGCACACCTAAATTTTAATCAAACCTCTCTGTGAAATATGCTGTTCTGAATAATTAATCTATCCATTAATAGAGATTTGATGTGCCTGATTTACAGTATTCAGTTGCATTAGGACTAATGGCATCTACGGTGCTGTCTGCTCTGGTCTCACTCAGCAGGCTCTACACAGGAATGCACACTGTGCTGGTAAGACACAAATTCCCTTTATTACCATGGTAGCTCTCGTATTATGAAAAATAACTAACAAAATCACAGAGGACAAAAAGATGATATTATATGTCAAAGGACTAAAAAAATTGAAAATAAGTTAATTATTTTTTCAACTGGCACAGTAATTAAACTTGAAATTGAACCTTTTCAAGTCTCGGCACATTCTGTTATCAATATCATGAAAGGATTGGCAGGCAGGGTCTCTTTCCTCTTGAAGAAAGAAAGCTGAGGCATTTAAATTATGAAAGGTTTTCATAGAGTGGGAACAGAAAAAGGAACAACAAGTGGCCATTAATGTAAGATAGTCACCATGAAATCCAATAGGAATCCAGAAGAAATTACTAAGTGGCAAGATGAATGGTAAGAATGTAGAACAGCCTACCACAAGAAGTGGTTGAAGCAGCTTGAATTGATGAAGTTACGGGAAGCTTGTGAGGGAGAAGTAAGTCGAGGTTTATGATAACAGACTTAAATGAGGAAAGATGGAAATAGGTTCAAATGAAGCATAAACACCAGGCAGCATGGCCAATGCTCATGAAATAAAATAAGGCACAATTCAACAGTGGGAGGAATGTGGTGGAGCGTGAGGAGTGGATACTGTTGACCATAAGAGCACAGGGTATTTCTGATTAATATGACAATGGGAGGGCTGCTGATGAGTGTAAATTGGATTGCGGGGTGTTCCTGGTAACTGTAAGAGCTGAGTTAAGGAGTTGGTTCAAAGCAAACAAACCTCAGACTCCTAACATTATCATCTCTCTGCTGGTCAATTCATGGACCTGCAGTCCCACTCAAATCATTAAACTGAGATTCCCAGGCTCAGTCTCTCACAGACCGTCATAGATATACAGGACAAAAGGTAACCAATGTTGAACCTGAGGCATACAGTCAAAATGAGGGGCAAACCCTTAAAATGCATAAATCGGTCGCCCTGACACTGGTATGGATTGGTTGGGCCGAGTGGCCTGTACTCAATATCCAATGTAACATATGTAACTTTAATGCGCTTTTATCATATTCCCTATTAAAAAGCATTCTGAGTCAGCTATCTCATTGTTATGTCAGAAATAAATGATTTTAACTCTGCAGCAACGTATTGGGATAACATTAGTGCTTGGTATATCACTAAACCATAGAGACTAGGTCAAAGGAATTTGGATCCCAATCTGTATTCAATTAGCTGATTTCAGGCAGAATAGCAATTGACCTCTATGTTCCTAATCTAGATAGGGGAAAAGTTTCTTGAGTTATCACTCATGATTACTTACCAATTAATATTGCTGGAAAATGCACAACTGGGTAAAATTTAATCCAAATGGCAGGGGCTTTGGGTACCAGCTGCAGAACACTTCCTTTGGGGAAAACCTGCCATATTAAATGTCATTTAGGCTTCCCTGGGATCAAGTGTTCAAGGGTGGAAATCTGATACCTAAGAGTTTCTGACTAATCAGAAACCAACAGCAATGCATTGGCATCAGCACCACCAGTGGGATAGCAGCAGCTATTGGAAGTGCAGCCACCAGAGGCCCAGTATCAATGAAAGACCCAGGCCACAGATGAATGAGGACAGGATGGGTATCACGGGGTGAAAGTTATTGACTAGGCAAGGGCAATGGGACAAAAGGGCAAGAGGTGGGTCCCACTATCCCAAATCCACTTCCTGATATCAAATCCCTTGATCAGACATTGAATGCCTTTGAATGGGGAACGCAATGGAATTCTGAAAGCAAATTCAGCAGAATTTGCTTTTCTGGCTTTCCACATGGTGACAGCTTTGTCTGCCACTAGTTGCATACCAGCAGCAACAACATGAGGCTCTTAAGTAGGTATTCATTTTAGGTATTAATATTAATTCCTCCGGGTGCTCCAGTTTCCTCCCACAGTCCAAAGATGTGCAGGCTAGGTGAATTGGCTATGCTAAATTGCCCATAGTGTTCAAGGATGTGTAGATCAGGTGGGTTACACGGGGATGAGTCTGGGTGGTCTCTGAGGGTCAGTGTGGACTTGTTGGGCCAAAGGGCCTGTTTCCACATTGTACGGTTTCTATGATTTCTATGATTAATTGTCTATTTAAATCTCCAGTGAGCATCAGTGCGGGAAGACCATGTAGATGCCTTCCTGCCCCTGACAAAATCAAGGCAGGGAGGTGGCTCTGTCTCCACCCAATATCCCCCAACCAAATAAATACTCCCATTTCCAAACTTGCCTCAAGGAGGGTATTAAATTCTATGCATTATCTGGACTTTGTGTTGCCATCTGTTATGAAATAGTGCACAAAACATGTAACATCTGAGATCAAAACATGTAATATCTGAGATCACACATGAAGATTAGGCAGTTTAGCAGGTTTGCAATCATGAAGTTGTGATCCAAGAAGTGTCAGCATCTTTAACAGACAAGGGGGATTAAATTCAGAAAATAAATTGAAATCTTCAGTGTCAAGATTTAATTGCAGTCTATACCAAACAACTTGGAAGAAAGATTGTGAACTTTACTATTGGGTTTGTTAAAAATATACCACTGAAGTAACTTTAACAATAATGTATTGTTAACACTGTCAATGTATTCTAATTCTGTTCATATCAATTTTCAGGATGTGATCTGTGGAATCCTTGTTACTGCAGTGTTTATGGCTCTTACATATCCTTTCTGGAACATTATTGACAATTTCCAGTTAACCAGTCCTTTAACCCCCATCATTGCAATAGTTATACCCTTTCTCATGAGTTATACCTATCCAGCACTAGATCATTACAGCCCAACCAGAGGGGACACCACGATTATCCTGGGTGTTGCATCAGGATGTACAATTGGCTTTTGGATGAACTATCAGTATGGTCGGACATATGAGCCTACAGGACCTCTCCCATTTGAACTACCTTCTATAACACTGGAAGTTGTGTCACTAGCAATTGCACGCTTTCTCGTTGGAATTATTGTTCTTGTTGCTACTCGCCAAGTTGTCAAAACATTCTCCCTCAAAGCACTGTGTGCATGGTTTAATGTTGGAGAACATGATGAGGAAGCTAGGAAAAGACTGGAAATTGAAGTACCATATAAGTTTGTAACATATTCATCCATTGGCTTCAATGCAACAGCTGTAGTTCCTTTGCTGTATCAATTCCTTGAACTACTGTGAGAATGGCTAATGGATGGAGTTTTGTTGTAATTTCTTATGTAGACTGAGATGCATTTAATGCATTGATGAAGACCAACATAAAAGATATTTCCTGCACTATCATATCACAACTTTTCATTTAAATATTATTCGTGTGTATGTGAAATCATTTCATAGTTTAGTTACTTTCCTAGTCTCCTGGTAATTCCCCATTGCTAGCCAAGAGTGTATGTGGGTGATCTAACCTCAAAGCAACAATGTGATGAAACAACTGTTTAAATGTGCAAAGGAGGCCTGAAGTCACTGACTCTTGCATTCCTTTTTCTGGTCTCCTCTTTCCGTTTCTCAACTGTTCTATGTTTGGTTGAAAGACCACAGGAATGAACCCACATTTCACCACTCACACTTCAGTGCTACATACTGCTGCTTCAGTGTGCTTCAGGATAGTGAAGAAAACTTTATAACAGTTTTCCTGTTTAAATATACTGCAATCAAGAAGTGAATCTTAATGAATGTGACCTCTTAATGAGGTCATTGGGTCAACAATTTCTTTGCATTAGGAAAAATACTTTTAAACAAACTTTTAATCTTTTTACATCAATTTCAAATTAAAAGCCAATGACAATTATTTTTGCTAGGTAATTAACTTATTAAAAAGCATTTGATCTTTTGAAATAGCGCTTTATTTGATTGTTGGATTCAAATTTGAATAGGTTAATCTTTCCTCTGGAACATAAAGTTCAATGTGATTAACTCATGGTGCACGTGTGATATAGTACCAGTGGCACCTTTACTGCAGTTCTTTAACATACCAGCAGCTACGGATAGATTATGGTAATTGCTTCTAAACATGAAATATGAACAAATTATCAGTGATCTTAAATATTCACTGTATCCATCAATGACACACAGTGGCTGCAGTGTGTACCATCTACAAGATGCACTGTTGGTACTCTCCAATGCTTCTTTAACAAAACCTTCCAACTCTGCAACCTCCAAAACCTAGAAGAAAAAACGTACATTCATTCCCCTTCAAGTCATACACCACTTTGACTTGGAAATATATTGCTGTTTCTTTGTCGTTGCCGGGTGACGAACCAAGAACTCCTTACCTTGTAGCCCTTTGGGTAAACCTACACAGACTCCAGCAATTCAAGAAATTGATTTACCTTCTCGGAAATATTTGGGGTAGGCAATAAATGTTGGCTTTCCCAGTGATACCGATATCTCATGGAATAAATAAAAGTAAGATCTTTTCTTACACAAATAATTTATTTTGAGTTTTGAAAAGGTTCTGGACATGCATTGTCCTAATAATTTAGCTATAACAGTAAAATAACACCTTCAACATTGAAAACAATGTCCCATAGTGTTTTAGTCACAAAGAAAAAATGTATATTATTGGACAGGGAAATAATCATCTCTTTACGATCCTTTTAGTCTAAGCAAAGGTGAAGCAATTATGTATACATTTTGCTCTGGAAAAATCCCTTTAAACAAATCTGTAAAATTCTCTCCATGCTCCCTTTCCTCTTTAAAGTCATTGATCATGATGTCACTTCTCAAATACTCATGCCCATCTTTCCCAGAACTCATGTTTACTTCCTCCAGTCAGGTCAGGTCACAAATGACATTGCACTTAATGGTAACCAAAACTATTATCCCACCTCATTTTTATCAGTCTGTCTTAAACTTTTTAACATATTTGACCACATCATCCTTGCCATTTTCATCTAGCTGGGTTGGACTGCATTCAACTGGCTCCATTCTTATCTATCTGATCATAAACCAAAGAAACAGATGCAATGACTTCTCTTCTTAGTCCCCCATAGACCAAGACGGTCTCCCCAAAAATCTATCTTTGACATCTTCTCTTATTTATATGCCATTCCTCAGCCACTTTATCAGAAAACATGGTAAATTGACATCACTCAGTGCTACCTCACAGTTGCTTCTCTACAATTGCATTGTATCTAATACAGGACAAGCAGAGGTTTCCTCCAACTAAATATTGGGAAGTGAGAGGCCATTGTCTTTGATTCCTGTCACAAATTTTGCCCCCTAGCCAATGACACCATGCCTTTGGTTTGAATTAACCCGAAGCTAAACGAGACAGCTCACAGCCTCAGCATCATATTTAACATCAAGAGGAGCATTCAACCAAATAACTGTACTTTCACGAAGCCTGCCTATTTCCACCACTGTGCCAGGCCCTGTCCCCTCTTCATTTCTTTTGCTGCTAATGCCTCTACGCATTTGTTACCTCTAAATTTGACTGTTGTAATACATCCTGGTGGATCTTCCACATTCCAGAAGCATGATTTAATACAAAATTGCTGCCTGTATTCTAATGAGTAAAATAAATCCCGTTCACCCATTGCCCCAGTGTTCATTGCTTGCATTTGTTCCTGGTTAAGCAACAAAGCAATGTTAAAATTCTCATTCTTTTTTCCAATCCCTGCTTGACCTGACCTTTCCAGCCCCACAGTTCTCTGAGGTCTCTGAATACCTCTGATTTTGGCTCTTGAGCATTACCCAATTTTAATTGCTCCACTGTTAGGGCCTTATCTTAAACTGCCTTAGTTCTGCGCTCTGGGTTTCCTTGCCACGCTTCTCTGCCTCTCCACCTCACTTTCCTCCTTTAAGATAATCCTTAAAAACTACTTCTTTTACCAAGCTTCTGGACATCTGCTCTAATAAAGCATGATGTGACTTAGAGATAACAAAGTGTGCAGCTGGAGGAACACAGCAGGCCAGGCAGCATCAGAGGAGCAGGAAAGTTGATGTTTCGGGTCAGGACCCTTCTTCAGAGTCATATTTTGCTTTATACTGTCTCTGTGAAGTGTCTTGGGACATTTTATGTCATTCAAATTGCTACATAAATATATATAATTGTTGTTATTGCAGACCCTATTTAAATGGCAGGTATTGCAATGTAAAATATCAACAAAGACTTCTGCTGCTGATGTTGCTGAAATGCATGATACGAAGAATTTTAAAATGGCAGATATTGAATGTGCGAAACAAATCCACAGCAATTCTACAGTGAATTACAACCTTGATTATATTATTCATCATTCCTGCTCCAATCACTGAAATTATGACCTACAAATGTTTCTCAAATTATTTACAATTACTTTTTGCATTCTATGTTATCTTTACATGCAACAGATCAGTGAAATGCTTGTGATTTTCTTAGGCAATGAATCTATATATACAGGTAATGTGAAAATGAAATGTATCTAAAATGAAGTGTATTTATGATTTATAATGCTACACAGTGAACGTCCATGTCAACTTCTTTAAGTTAAAACCTGATTATATCTTTTCATAAATTAGTATTGTAGGAACAACATCGAAGCAATTAAATCCTTTTTATGGTGTTGATTGATATTAATTTTAGCCATTTGAAGTGGGTCTGCTGTATAACTTCACCCTCTCAGAATGCAAAATGGAATCAAAATTGAGAAGCATCTACAAAGGAGTAATTCAACATCATACTGCCCATTTTTCGGTCTAAAATTTATCATTACAGGGGTCAAACAGCAGTTGTGATGTCTATGCCCAAACTCTCCTGCATATCATATCTGATCAGAATACTTGTGGACATTTACACATCTGCCTGTAGGCAGCAGGACCTTTATTAAAATAAGGCTGCATTGCTTATTAATTAGTTGGAGTGCTGACCTGATGGGGCTACATTTGACATTTTGTGCTGGGTTACAGGAGTTCAACCAAGAAGTGCATAGTCTGCCATTTCCCCCCTCTCCCCAACCCTTTATGCAGACAGAATGAAGAATTTTGCAGCCAATTTGTGGCCACCCAGCTGGTGAACTAGGTGAGGGAAGGGTGCCCATTGGGTCTCTAGTTAGAAATATCTAGTGCAAGTTGGATCCAATTGTGAACTGGACGTCAGTCATGGCGCTACCTATTTCAAGGCATCCTGGAACAAGTTGGTGGCAGCTGTATAAGTAATCCACATGTGCAGGAATAAGTGCATGGCAAAGAACTGTTCAGAAGCCATTGAAGTATTGGAGAAGTAAGATGTTGGAACATGTCTTTCTGTTTTGGTGACTGTTGTACAAACAATGTTTTGTTCAGGATGCTGGCCAGGGACAAAACAAAAACCTGAACGCACCTGTCCCATTCCACTTCTGAATAAGAAGTGTCCAAAGAATTGTTTCACCCTTAAACTTTATCTCTCTACTGAAGAGGAAACTCAGTTTTCTCCATATTTAATTTACAATGAAGAACGGAAGGGCAGATAGAAGGTCCCAGACCAAGTGCAGATCTACGGGTTGACAATGACTCCTTGTGAGTCCTCCTTCAGCAATTGGGGTGGGGTTTCCTCATGCAATCTAATGGGAACAGAAGACCCCCACCAGCTAGAACAAATAAGCCTCGATTCAAGTCACATGGGAGGTCAGCAGTCATGAGGTCATCTGACAGACATGGTTGCAGTGCTGTAAGAAGTTATATAAGCTCTGATGTTCTGCCGGAGTAAGGGAGTAATCAATATGCAGATGTATCTATATGGAAGAGTGTGATGTATGTCAATTGTGGGATTGCCTAGTGTCTTGGCCATGTACATAAAGCATACATACTACTCTGCATAGGGACTGGGGAAGTCTGATGGGGGGTGAATTCTGAAGTGCAACACTTGTTAGCTGACAAGGGTCATCAAAGAGTGTTGATTGCCCACAGTGGACATATTGACCATACAAATGAAAGCATGATGTTTCCACAGAAGTTTCATTACAATATTCCTCTTTCTTTGCAGGAGAAGCAGGCACATAATGCCCACAAAAAGTCAAGGATGTAAGGGGGGTGCCTAACCTTGAACTAGAGGAGGTGCTGAAGTTGGCACCAAATCAAGGGAGTTGCCCTGTCGATTGTGGAGGATGTCTGAGGAGGACGTTGAAGGGACATCAGATTCCAAAGCCCACAGCTCTGTCCTGCCAAGGCTGCACAGAAAGTACTGAGAGGGGGTGGGGCGAAGGATCAGAAGAAGCTGAGGCAGGTGGAAGGGATAAAGTATTGAGGGGAATGACTTTGGAAGTTTGCAGCATTTGGGGAGGAATGTCTCAATTTTGAAGGTATTAAAGTTTCAACCCTGGTTACCATT